TGGTTTTTTTTTGTTTTGTACAAGGAGGGGAAAAATTTTTTCAAGGAAAACTTTTCCTCAAATTTGAGGGGGGGAAAAGTCCCCCCCCCCCCCCCCCCCCCCCCCCCCCCCCCTAATCGTATGGCCTGCATGCATACGATCATAAATTCTAATCGCGAGCACCACCCAACAGGGAAACAATAGTGTTACTACGAATTTTTTTATTTCTGAGTACTTTGTTAGTATTTTCAAAAACTCCTTGGGTTATAACTTTTCGAGCCGTGAAACATCGTCTAGAAGCCCATGACTGAACACGCCATTGAGCAGAGACTTCAATCATGAAGTCTTAGGAAGACTTTTGAAGTTTTTTGAGTTATAACTTTTAATGTAAGTTGAAGTCTTCTGTTTGCGCCTTGGTATCAATCCACTGTGTATGAATTTGCATGTACTAGAGTTATGATTTAGATATCATCTAAGTTTTTTTAACTCTTAGAAAAGTGTAATCTTTTTTTGTGATTGTGAATATGCGAAAATCACCTGTACTAGACACATTCCCACTAACGGATTTGATTTGGTAGTATAGATGGCGCCGCAAAATCATTTATTAGTCCAAAGATAAAACCAATAGAAAGGGTTGCATCGTCATTAAACAACAATATGCTGTATTTAAAAAAAAAATTACACTTTTTAGGGATGAAGGTACAACTACATAAGAACAACACCCATACTCTTTGATATGCCCTATCATTTAGTGTAGAGAGTGTTGTTCTTCTGCAGCTGTAACGTTAGATTCTGTAGTTCTTATAATTTCAAAGGTTTTACTGAAATCTTTATTTTGTTGTTTGAGGAAAAATTAAATTTAATTTTCTAGGTTTTCGAATGTTACATCCTCCATTAACAATTGTACGAAAAACAGCTGAAAATAATAGTGATAATTGCAATTCAGATTCATTTTTACCAAGTGTAATGACCTGTGTCAACTATCTTAAATTGCCAGATTATTCATCAAAAGAAATAATGAAAGCAAAATTAACAACAGCAATACGAGATGGTCAATATGCATTTCTACTTTCGTGAACATCTTCTCTTTCTTGTTTGTACAGAAAAAAAAAGCAAATACATATATATTATTACTTTTTTCGGTGTTCTTCGTTTCGTTCTTTCGTTTTTTGTTTTTTGTTTTTCATTTTTGATCGTTTGTTTGCACACTGTAATAAAACTACATGCATCCGAAACAAAAAAAAAAAAACAGAATCTTGATCTAAAAATATATTCGATGACAACGTCCTAGTTAAGAAAGAAAAAAGAAGGGAAAAATAAAGATTTTGTTCTATGTAGTTTTTCTTTTTTTTTTGTTTTGATCAACGTTTATTTGTGTGTAGCTATCGTTCATTTTTCTCTTTATTTGGCCATTTATTGCTCTATTCCTTTTTATCGATGTTAAACTTCTCTAGTTTTTTTTTTTCTTCTTTAATTATACAAAACATCAGCAAACGACAAAACATTGTCTTATTCGAATAAGTACATATGGATTCTAGTAGTTTTCTTTTTTTTTGGTGTTATTCTAGATTTTTATTTCATTTTTCTTGGAAATCTACGAAACGAACTTATATATACATATTTGGTGAATTTAACTATTATTAAAGTAGGATAATATCTTTCATTTAGAGATATTTTAAATTGCAAGACGTATTTATATTTAAGCCTTCCTACTCTTCAAGAAATAGTTCATTTCCATCAGGTTAGTACCCAGTCAGACAAAAATTTTGAAAAACGCGTTTAAACGCACAATCGGGAACCGCGATTGTAAGCCATTAACGCTCATTAAAAGAACGCACGAAAACGCGTTTGCTGGCGTTTTTCTGTAACTTTATGGGCGTTAAAACGGCGAAAACTCCAATTTTGGAGCGTTAAAACGTATTATTTGTAAGTTCTAGAATAATAGTGCGTTTTAACGCTCAAAAACGGGAATTGTCGCCGTTTTAACGTCCATGAAGTTACAATAAACGTGTTTTCGTGCGTTTTTTTAATGAGCGTTAATGGCTTACAATCGCGGTTCCCGATTGTGCGNACTCTGTTTATTGGTGTAAGTAATTTCTCTGTATTAAGATTAGAATCCGATGTAGCGAATGAATACAATGTTTTTGTGTCGAAGTCATACTAGAATGACAAAATATTGATGAGGCTAGGATTTAGTCCAGAGGTGGAGCCGATGTACATTTTAGACGACCGGTATTGGTGTCGGTGTAAGTAGGTCAGACTGAACCAGCCGGTCTACCAGTGTAGGTTCTGTCTCTGAATAATGATAATTTGTGTTGGCAACTTCCAGCAAACGTTCCTGATGTATACTCTGCAAACACTATTAAGATTTAGAAGAAGTTTTGAATACGTTTAAATGAAAAAAGCAGAAAAGTAAATAACATAGATCGGTCGATGGTCGGTCTAATGTTCACGATCGATCTTAAATCCCGACTGATACTGGTTTCATCTCTGGTTTAGTCAACTACCACTTCAATTCTCCTCAAAACAGGACCACCGAATTGTGACACGCTATAAAACTGAAACTTTGTGTAGTTTTTGACGGTATCTAGTTACACATGCAAAAACAAATCATTCTTATATCTCACATTTAGGAAGAGCTAGGACATATTTTAGTATATGTATAATAACCATTTTTAGGCTCTCTCGTATCTTTAACGTCTGTTGGCTATATTAACTCTCTTCGTCATTCATTCACTTTCTTTGACAAGGTAGGTTTTTTGAAAATAGGCCACCGCAGCCGAACACTTTAAACATACACTTTCAAACAAAAAAGCTGTTGTACTATATTTCCTACTGTAATAGGATGCCTCTAGAGATGTGTCCATCGAATAACTACTTTGAGAGAAACCGAGTTCTTCAACGAAAAACGTTTGTTTTAAGCAAAATCTCGTTTCTCTTTATAATAAAACTCTCCATTTTAACAGGTAGCAAAGCTCAAAGCCATACTTATTATGAAAGCACACATATCGAAGTATCTAATCACCTTTTTATCTGAAAAATTAATTTTTTGAAGACACTCAATATTTCGAGGTGGGGTCTTAATCAAGTTTTTGTTTATTTTTGATGTTTCTGACGGTTTCGATACGGTTTCTGACCTCTATTTCGATTCAAGAATGAGAAAAACGGAAATTGTATTGCTCGGGTAAACATCTATTAACCTCTTCTGCACACGATGCACATGTTTCTCGAAAATCAAAATAACCTAGACTCGCTAACAGCAAAGCAACGCTTTAATAAATAGAGACTTTTCGAATAAACTTCTTTTCTTTTTTCATTGTCTACAAGTGAAATTAGCAACATGGCACAAAAACAAATAAAAATATGTCTTATTATTGTCTTTTTTTTGGTGAAATCGACATGTAAGTCAAGAATTGTTTTTGAAAAAGAAGAAGTAGTCAGTATTAGTTGGAGGCCATTATGAACGACGTTTGTTGAAGCATCTATTCATTGAACAGCAGCACAATCCACTTGAACGACCAGCTAAAAATGATTCAGAATCTGTGTCTGTTGATATAAAGTTTAGTCTTCTGAAGCTCATTGGCTATGTAAGTGAGATTGAAATTCAATTTTTTCCTAATCTTTCGTTCATTGAATATGAATAGGATGTAAAGAATAAGATCCTTACTACTAACTTCTGGGTCACTCAAGTACGTAGATTCGTCGACAGACCTTGATATTTTTTTCACGTATCTGTGCAGATATGGCAGGATTATAGTATGACATGGATACCAGAGGATTATGGTAACATTAAAACGATATCGGTGCCGGGCACAAAAATTTGGTTGCCGGATATTCTTCTGTACAATAGGTAGATCTCGAAAAACATGTGTTCCAAAGAAAGATTTCTTTTTGCAAAGTGTTGATGAGAATTACGACAATCACATGAAAACTAATGTAGTTGTTGAATATACTGGAAATATTCTGTATGTTTCACCGAGAATATTCAAGTCAACATGTTCATTCGATATTATCTCGTTCCCGTTTGTAAGTATCTCTTATCGTCGAAAGATCTTTGATTCAGATTTCATCTTATCGTTAATGTTTGTATTTTATTGAAAACACAAATCTGTACGTTGAAATTTGCGTCATGGACATTTGGCAAATCTGGTACGTAATAGAACATATTTTATTTTGTTTCTTACAAGACAAAACACAGAAGAAGGAAAATCAGAAGAGTCAGAACCACCTAAAATTCTGTGGTTTTTGTAAAACGATACGATACCATTGTGATTTCGATTTTTTCCATCCATATTTAGTTTCCATCAAAAATCATTTGCATACTGTGAGCGAATAATATTTAGGAATCAATCTGACAACATCAACCAAAGAAATTGATGTGAGTTCATATCTCATCAATGACGAATGGAAGTTGATAAGTACACGATGTGATTTTCTGATTGCTCATTGGCTTTTTTTCTGCTCCAGGTTCCTCTGCAACACACAATGAAGAGAAATACGAATGCTGTCCAGAGATATATCAATCCGTTGTGTTAACTATTAAAATTCGTCGAAGTTTTAATGACTTTCCTATACATATCAATGGTACTGGAAACGAAGATGAATAATCATGTCTCACCTATAAAGACATTTTTTCGTTATTGTTTTACAGTACCTTGTTTCCTCATCATTTGTAACTTTGTTGCTCCTCGTGGAGTTAACAAACTATGATACAATATAAGCTATAAAAAACGAAATAATCAGTTGCTTCATTATTCTATTTCATTCAGCGTCCTCTTATTTTCTGAATGCACGCGATCGATACACTACTGACTATAAGTCCCGCTATGTGTGATTTAAGAGCTCATCCCAATACTCGAAATAATCCAATCCAATTTATTTTTTTCTCGAGGCAATTTCAATGAATCTTGCTTATGAGAGAACATTGTTGCTGATCTTTAGATAATGGTATTATTTATCTGAATTCATGAAATAATTGTTTCGTTTGATTTGTTTGAAAAGTCTGCCAGTCGATATGTGCGGCAAGAAAAAGCTTTTTGTCGATCATATATTTTTTTTGTGGAGTCTCTGCGAATCGATATCATCGAGAAGAGAACATGGTTTAATAATGTTTTTCGCGAAATCACCGTTTCGTTCGATATTTTTCAAAACATCTTCAATGAATGGAATCGAAGAGATTATAGTTTAGTCGATCACTAAATGGCTGTTTAATCCTAGTTAATCGAAGCACTTTGGGTTCGTTTGAAGTGCTTCCTTCCAGATTCTTCGAATCAGTATAATCGGAAAGTGAAAATGGTGGCTTATTGTGACACAATCAGTTTGAATGGCATTCTAGTAAATAAATTTTTAGTTCAATGAAAGAGGTGCTTTTTTGTCATGAAGGTTTGTTTTCTGGCTGATTCGTGGGAGAATTACTTTGGAGTGTGTCTCTATTCAGTCAAAGTGTTGTTGACGATAGTCGTCTCAGGTTCTTTTTGCTGCAATCACGCAATGTTCCCACTTTGACAATTGAGTATTGAAGGTTTGATCTTTCGAAGGACCGCATAAAACTTTTTAAATTTATATACAATAATATGTTTATTGTAGCTTCAATAGTTAATTATAATAAGCTACATTTGATATAATGTCGAAAGTCATCGTATTACATCGGTCAAGGGTTTACCTGGAACTACGGAAAAAAATCGATAGATCATATTCGTTACGGGCTATTTATGCTTTCAATGCTTACACTGTTGTGACCGATGATGTCCAGGGTGTGGGTGTGGAAAGGAAAGCACTGACAGCCACACCCATGCCCACACCCTTTCGTCATCATTTTTCTCGCGTCTTATAGTAAAACTACAAACTGTTGATTACGCATAACTCATCAACAGTTAATATTCATCAGAGTGATTGATTTTCGATATTGTAGACGATAGATGGCGTTTCGTTAATTAATGAACAATATTATACAAACAATTTTGATATTCGAAAATTCTTTAGCACCTGTTTTGGAAGACTTAGCCCATATACTTTGTATATGGTATAGTGTAAAACAAATTCATTATTCTTGAATGAATAAGATTAGTTTGAATCGGAAGTTTTTCATTCTATTGAATTCATGTAATCTTTTTAAATAATATCTTTTAATTGAATAGTATTTTATTATGACAGCACTGAGCTATTGAAACGCCATTTGGAATCTACTCATTCAGTTATATTGAAGGATGTATAGATTTAAAAATTGATAAAGTATTCGGAATTATGTTTACATTTAGTGAAACGTAACTGTGGCGGTTTTACTTAGTCTTTTTTAGTGTTTTAAAGTGCTGCTAAGATAAAAACAAAAGTAGGACATTTTTCTTTTTTGCAGAGATACAGTTCTGCTGATCAGCTAACATTATATATATCTTCATGTAAACACAAAGAATAAATTCAAAAGAGGAAGATCTTTCGATACTGTGATGGTGAAAATGACTTCAATCGTCAAATTTGTAGAATTCCTGTAAAGAATTTCAATAACAATGCAATACGTGACTAATAATGTCTAACAAGAATAATTCTGTGGTTTCATATGAATATTTCAATCGAAAGTGTTGAATTAATGCAAAATTTTGATCAGAATGATTAAATAAGACGTCTGATAAAGCAATACAACGAACAAATTTTAATATCAAGCTGATAGATGTATTCTATGCTTAGACAAAAGATGAGATGGAAAATATATGTCAACAGAATTACATTGAACTTCAAGTTCAAATAGACACTAAAGGATTATTATATAAATGAGTAAAATAAGACAAAAAAACGAATACTGTTGAAAAATGTATTTCTAACAAAGAAAAAGTAGATTTTCATATTAACTATTCTCAAAATAAATGCAGCTTTCAGCTCAGTTTATTGACAATGCACACATAGATGTATGCGATCAAAAATAAACTCAGAAACGATGCTAAATATATCAGCCATATACGGATTTTACTTTAAGTTTTTTTTTACGGTTTATGGTATGTTGGTTTCTATAGCTATTCAATTCTATAGTGAAGCTATACTCTGAACTTGCCTATCATTAATAATTATCAAAAAAAGGAGTGTAAAAGTGCTATTATATTACGTGTAGATGGATGAACCATTAGAAGCTTTCATGCATGTGAAAAAGTCGGCAATAACACTATTATCACGGAACCGTTTGCATATGCATTTAAAACAAAAGGCTATATTTACATAATTTGTTTGATACGACGAGCTTCTTTATCAATCGACCATCAAAGAGTGTTCACAACTCCTAGAGAATTCAAAATACTGAGCAAGTTTAAAGATAATACTGTGTAGTTGCAGAGAAGTAAATCTATTTTAATCAAGCATCAACAATTGCATGTCGAACAGAAAAATTAATTCCTTGCGTGTGCTATTGTTGGTATTGCAAAATTTCTCACATCAACTTAACATTGATTCAGTATTAGTAGTGGTGAATACGATCTTCTTTGCATGGATATGTAAGATTTGGAAAAACTCTCGTAATCTTCATGATACATGAAGATGATGTTGTCACATTTTTATAAAAGTTTTATACCTTGCATTAACATACAAGAGTATCAAATACAAGTATCTGCAAGGATAAAGATCGTGTACGATCTTCTATGAATGACTCGAAAGCTTAAAAACTTGTCTGGTCATATATATGTGTTGCTAGCATGCATCTTTGTACATGTGCTATTGTGCTGTACTTGTTTGCAGAAAATGAAACTAATTATATGAAATAATTTGCATCATTGAATATGCGAGACAACGAGACAAAAATAAAATATACTATTGCCGTCTTTTTCTTAAATGTCAACTACCATTTTTTGGATAACGTTCAATAATTTCAAGCTATCGAGTTCGACTGATCACCATTAGAGAAAGTAACTTTTGGGATGCGTCGAGCTGTATTAGATTGATTAGAGTCAAAGAAATTTTTTATGATAGATCTCTAATTGATATATTTTTTTTGTTGCCCATTTTTCACGAGGTGTCATAGAGATCTACGCTCAAATTACACCAGAATATAGCCTAGAGGGTTCTGCATTTGTGACAAAATCTTCACATTTGAAAGCATTATATTGTACTCGAAACAATGGTAGAATTTAACTGAAAAAAATATGACAGATACAGGATTCTTCAGACTATATTCTAATGTAATTTGAGCCTAGATCTCTATAAAAACTCACGAAAATGGGAAACAAAAAAATATATCAATCAGAGATCTATCATAAAAAACTTCTTTGATTCTAATCAATCTCATATAGATAGATATCACCAAGGTTGCTCTACCTAATGATGAAAGACCGAATTCGATAACTTGAAGCCATCAAAAATGTTTCAGAAAATGATGGTTAGCATTAAAACACAATCAGACAATAGTTTGCAGGAGAATGCGAGTTTTATAAAAAGTTTCTTCAAATAGATACCTTCAGATTAATAATCCTGTTTAAGTGCATTCTCAAACAACTTTGTTCGTGCCTTTCTTCTTCTTAGTTCATTTATGTCGGTTCTTTATTCTTTTGTTTTTTTTATTCTATTCGGTCTTGTTCATTTTTATATATTATCTTTGTTTCTTTTTTGTTTTGCACTAATCTATCGAAGCTTTAAAAATCATAAAAACTCATTATCACTATTACTCATCATTGTTAATTTTCAATATTGCTGTCATTTTCATTTATAAGAATGCTAGTTACCATGTACAATATTAAAGTTAGTACAAGCCATTTTAATAAGTTGTCGGTGAGTTGAGAAATATTTCATAATATTTAATTGTAATAGTTCAAAAATAAAACAACACTATTAAATATGCATTTTAGTCTGGCAATGGCACCATCCATCTTGCGATGGCTATAAATGACACTGTTGGGTTTTGGCTTCTTATTGTTTTTCTAATTCCGTCAATAATCTGTAGTATTTTCGATCTTTATCATTTTGTATTCGATCGAAAACTTCGTCAGGCTCTATACAATCATTCAGTTATTGTTATAATTTTCTTTTGTTTAATCTTTGAATGTACAGACATACTTTGGCTTATTCATAATTATAGCACTGGTCATCCGTTGTCATCAACGAAAACCTTTTGTTTTATTTGGCATTTTACTGATCATATTGGTTTTCTTTTAATATCTATCATTGTTGCTTGGGCATCAGTTGAACGTCATATTCTCATTTTTCATGATAAATGGTTGATAAGAGGAAGACGGTTTTTTATCCATTATCTTCCTTTAATTATTCTAATTAGTTACTCATTGTTATTTTATATAATTGCTTTTTTTGTTTTCCCATGGGAACATATATTTAATTATTCACAAATTCAATGTGGATACAGCGACGATCCATTTCGTCCACAAATTCTTGCTGTTTGGGATAGTGTAGTGAATACTATTTTACCTGCTGTCATAATTGTTAGCTTTAACACGGCTCTTATTTTTCGTGTTTTATATCAAAAGCATCAATTAAATCAAAAAATTAAATGGAGAAATTATCGAAAAATGGCTGTACAAATGTTGTCAATATCTTCAATCTATTTTTGTCTTTATTTTGTACCTATGATTCTCTATACTGCTTATTCATTAGGTTTATCACGTATTTTTGCTCATGATTATTATGATACTAGCTTATATCTCTTTTATTTTATCATCATTTTACTTCCTTTTATATGTGCTGTTTCATTGCCAGAACTTCGAGCAAAACTATGTATTCTAATTCAAAAGCGACAACAACGAATTCAACATATGAATGTTCCACAACTTCCAATAGCTATCCGAAAAAACGTTCATCGATCAGTAGCAGTAGGACCAATTCACGAATGTTAATATGTATTTAAAGGTGATTTGGTAAAAAGTACTATTCTTATTATTAACGTCAATAAATGATGAATCATGATTCTAATTATTCATTATGTTATTGGTGTTTTATTTCTGTTCCTCTTTGATGTTATCCTTTTGATCTTTCACTATTGGTGTGAATGTTGGACATGAAGACAAGCCTCATACCCACAGTCAGACTTAGACCCCATACCCAACCCCGTATATCATTCACCAGTCATTCCTGGCTCATTTTCCCACTTCTCTTCTCTCCTCTGATCCTTGTGTTGTATCTTTTTCACAAATATATGATAGAATAAAGCACAAATAACTCAAATCCCGTATAATTAATATTAAAAATTGGAGAATTTTTAATATTAAATCGCTAAAAATAAATTTGTTCGGTAGTCAAACTCTTTACGACGTATTAAATACCTTATAAAGTTTCATAGATCTATGCTTATTTGTTCAGTGTATTCTTTACTAATTCAAGTTTACAAAAAACATCAGAACAATATATCTATCGAATGCCGAACATACGGCAATTCTACATCATCCAAGCAACGAACCTGAACATGTTGTGTATGCTTCAACTACTTAGTAGTAAATCTCTTCGATAACGTCAACGTTGCATAAAACGAAAGAGAAGAATTTTTTCTATTGATTAGTTCTATTTAAAGTCTAAATAGAAAAGGAAATGACCTCAGAACACCGTTTTTGAAAATCATCATCAAGAGCTACCCGAATTGGTCAATTGTTGACTAATGAGATGTTGACATACCTCGATGGCTCTAGATCTTCTCTCTTTAATGGTGGAAATCACAGATCTCTATGATGTTCCTATCAAGAGTTATGTAAAAACACTGTGAAGCGTATTATATTTTTTGAAATAGGGACTACGTAGTGTAGCATAGCAAAGATATGCTATAGAGAGTTGATATTTTTGAATATATTAACTATGAAAAACTGAACTAACTTTTCACGAAAATCCCAATCACATATGTTTGAACTAGAGATGTGCAGAGCACAGTAGGGTAGGATAAGGGTTAGAAAGTTTTTCTCCGCGAGTATACAGGACACACAAAACTTATTCTGTACATCTATAATTGAAATTCTTTGGAAATATTTGAAAAACAAGATCGTTGATTCGGTGTATGATCAACTTTGAGTACGATTGAGTTCTATTGAGACAAGTAATGTTACAAAATATTTTTTATTATAAAAATGTTCTTTGAAAAAATAAAAATTAATGTAAATATGATAAGAAAACCAAAGGGTATCTTTTCGTCTAATCATCATCAAAATCATCATCATCGTGAGAATTTACTTGTTCACATTCTCGAAGATCAATTTCAGCATAATTTCGAGCAATTTGACGTATTGTTGTAATTCTGAAAGCTGTAAGTGGACCTATTAATACTTCTTTTTCATCTTTATATTCCGAAATTCCTTCAATATCTAATCCAGTTCGATCATTAATTATTTCATATGTACAAAGAGCAGATAATTTAACATTTTCACCGTGTTGTTTTTCACGATAAGTTAGATGTTTTGTTGCAAGTTGTTCACCCATTTTTCGATCCTTAGTTGTCGACATGAATGCTTTATTCATAACTTTTCCTCCAACACTAAATTGTTTAAAATCATCATGTGTCATACATGTACCACGATAAACTTTTCCTTTGAATGATAAACTTGCAAAAGCTGGATTATTATAGAAAAAATCAATGAAATATGTTATACCAAAATGTGTACCTTGATCAAAACGTCTTGTAGCTAAATCTTTATTTAATTTAATATAAAAGTCGGATTCGACCGTATAAGCTTTAAGAAGGAAATGAGGATCTTGTTGTGCTTGATTTATATATGTCTTTATGCGATCATTTTCTGTGTGAGACATTTCATCTTTAATATATTTTAAACGATCATCTATATTTTTATTATTCCATCCAAATCCAATATGACGAAATCGATAATCACTTGCACGAGATTCAGCTTCAGCATCACATTTCATCCAATCAATATAAGCAGATCCATCATTAGAAAATCGAGTTCCTGATTGACGTATAAATAATCTTTTAATTTCGTCTTTTTGTGCTTCATCACAAGGTAAACATTTATGCATATTCTTTATTGAACGACTAGCACCTTTATCTAATAATAATTTAACTATTTCTGTATGGCCATAGTAACATGCAGCATGAAGAGCTGTAGAACCATTTCCTTCAATTTGATCAATTTCATCTAAAGTCATATTTAGTAATTGTTCACGAACTTTATCTATTAACCCATTACGACATAAATAATAAAAGTCACTTATTGTCGTCGATGATTTCGATATGGAAGTCATTGATTATTTTCGTGACCAAAAAAAAATACGATATTACTAAAACAATTCATCAGTACAATAAGTCAGATGTTAATCGGAGATTAGAAAAAAAAGTTAGTTCTAAGATTGGTATTATATTTTGTATTTCAATTGAAATCTATCGAATTGAACATGGGTAACAGCAATGCTGTTCACCTCTGATTGAAATGCATAACGGAAACTTTCTCTTCTACAATATAACCTGTATTGCATTATATTTTTTTTCGATGACCAGGTTTCACCTATAAGAATAGTTGAAAGATGACAGATGGTTTCGTGAAGGTTAAGAAGAGATTGAAGACGAAGTATGATTCAACGGGATTCTTATGTCAGAGTTGACGAATTGCAAGCACAAACTGATTCGAGTCATGGCACCATCCAAAGAATAATCTCTGATCATTGTAAGCTTGAAATGATTATTGTTCATTCTATATCGAGACAGCTGACATTGAGGGTGATCATGAAAGATATGGTTTGAATTACAGGTCTGATAGGTCGTTTTTCGTGTTCGAAGCCTTCTTGTCCTTCACAAAACTTATCGTAAATAGGAATATCAAGATGACGAGCATTCGTCCGTTTACGGTCATCATTTTACTGGTTCAAAGCGATTACCGATTTGAATAGGCAACTGGTATTCACCTATATTTACGTATATTCATCGGTAATCACTGTTATTCATAAGAGCTTGGAAGTTGCTATTAACAGAGAGTTACTTTACCAGCTACCAAGTAATGGAGTAACGAAAGTATCGTGGATTTGGTTTTTTCGTCAAAGAATAACTACACAATTCTGAGAAACCGGTTACAGATTCGAATTCGCAAATCTACGCATTTACTGCTACTCTACAAGTGATAATGTAAGGTTAATCTCCCGCCTCTAATATTCATAAATACTCATGGGTGAGTATCGAATACCGATCCATCCACAATTTTACTTTATGAATTGAAAAACTTTAAGAGAGTTTGCTCTTGTTGTTTATCTAGACTAAAATTCGAACTAACTTGTTTCGCATGACTTACTAGGAAACCTTTTCAGGTGCTTCTCTCCTTTCGATTTCAATGTTTTTTGCCTATAAATACTGTCCAATGCGCTAGGAAAAACTCTTAAAGGATTTGAGTTTCTATCTCCTCTTTCAAAAGTTATGAAAATTTTAATTTTGCCTCTATAATGCATAGTATACGATGTGGGCCATAAAATAGAACTACGATCAAATGATGAAATATATCTCCATTAGTTCAATCAAATGAGCCAATATTTTGGATATTGGTAGAAATTTATGGAAAGTTTTTTTTTTTCATATGAATAAGGTAAGCAAATATTACCATTACGTATTATTGTTGGCATTACAAAAGTAATTCCTAGATGATTTCGAGTTGTCATCTAAGCGAACAAGAAGAACAAGTCAAAAACAAACTTTATGAATGGTTCTCTATTATGTATGTAAAGCAAATTTTTACTAGTTAGTTTAAAAGTCAGCGGTTACAAGATGTAGAATTTTCAAACATAGAATACCGGTTTTCGCAAAAGAGTTAATGTTTTGATATCTGAAGAGCTACAATTTGTGTGTCTTGCTTATAGTGTAAGAACTTCAGCATTATGTATGCACGTCAATACAGAATCATTCGTAAAGCTTGTTTTTTACTTGTCCTTCTGATTCTCTTAGATGACAACTCGAAATTATCTATGAAACACTAAACATGTTTTTTTTTCATTTGGTAACAGATAAACTTGCTTTTATGATACCAACAATAAAACTTAATGGTCATATTTGCTTAACTTATCCGTATGAAAAAAACCGTCGAATAAACTTCTACCAATAACCAAAAAGTCAGTTGAACCAATGAAGATATATTTCATCATTTTATCGCAGTGCTGTTTATGTTCCACGCGGTATGGTTTGTACTAGAGAGGTAAAATTAGAATGTTTATAACTTTTGAAAAAAGTGATAGGAACCCAAATCCTTTAAGAACTTTTCCTTGAGCGTTGAGTAGTATCTATAGACGCAAAACCATTGAAATCAGAAGAAAGCACCTAAAAAAGTTCTCTCGTTCGTCTAAATAGATGGTCGACAGTTGATGTTTCTTACTTTCTAATCTGTAGAACTCAGTATAATAAACGAGAAATATTTATTTAGAATATGAAGTTTTTGATCTAAAACAAAACATTAAGAATTTGTTGTTTTTTCATTTCAAAGGTGTTTCAAATACTGATTCAAGTAGAGTTCTATATCGGATCATGTTGATAAACCCGATAAATTCTCTCCTACGTTGGATAATTAGAATGGTTCCTCTGTGCTATCAGTTCAGTGTATATGAACAACACATAACTCTAACTTCAAATTTATGAAGATTTATACTTCCTGATATTTGTTCGAAGAGATCTGCTGGTCGTCAAAATATAAACTTAAGCAACATTAACCATTTTTAAATCGTTTTAAATTCATATATTGTCACTGAGCTGTTCTTAATATAACTTAATCATTACGTTGCTCGTTGCATACAACATAAATATAGTGATCTAATCTCAATATTTATACAGTTGAAGACTAGTACATTTTCATTAGAAAACCTGAGTACTCAAGAACGTGCTTGTAGAAACTCTATATTAGTTTGAGCCATTTCATTGCATTTGCAAATAGGAAATGTAAAAACAAAGCGAAGAAGAAAATTTATCCTAAGTATTATTACCGATTTTGGAATTCATAGAATACATTCAGATTTACTTTTATTTACTAGTTTAGAAAACTATGTCAACAGGCAGCTAATCTGATATCGGTGAACATAAGAAAGAAAATTTTTTCTTCCTCTCTCATAATTATAATATGTCTTAGATTGCTTGAAAAAACGTGTCTAAATTCATGAATAAATAAGAACTGACCTTTTTAATTAAAACAATGTAGCTACACGTTAAATTGTAGATCTATCTAAAAATTTTTCACAATCGAAGGATGTGTATGGTAACTCAAGGACATATACAGAAAATTTAAAAGTTTTTCTCGAAATTTGAATGGCTGGAGTACATTTGTAAATGTTCTACGTAGTACAGATCATGATTGTCACGTGATATGATTAATATAAACAACATGACTTGATCAAGTTATAAATTTAGGAAATAATCAATATCAATGTTTCTAAGCTTATCACAATATATAACAGTGTGTTGAGACCTGCTGAGTTAAATCAATGGTTAGAATAATAATAATGTTATAAATAAAGAGAAACAGAAGATGAAAATGAAAACAACGAGCGAATAACAACAAATCAAACCAAAAAAAAAACGAGCGCCAGTAACAAAAAGAAAAAAATTCTATTCGAAAGGCAGAAATCAATAAGAGAGGGAGAGCGTTTCTTTAGCGATTGATTATCCTTGGAAAACAACTGTAGTCTGCTAGAAATATTTCACTTAACGTATTGTATATTAGTATAATAAGATTAAAGAACACATGTGAGTTCTAAATTTCAGTTCCCAACAACATTGTACTCACAATTTTTTGCATAATACAAAAAGAACGAATTGCGTGCTACTACCATAAAAAACTTCTTTTTTTTCTTTTCTTTCATACATGCAAATAATTATTTCGAGCGATATTTTTTCAGTGCTTGCGTCTTACCTTTTCAGTTACATTTAATCGCATCAAATTAATAGGAGCTGCTGTAAGAGAAACCTATATTTCTTTTCAAAAAACAATTCTGTAACATTTATTTGCATTGCCTTGATTGTCTATGTCTTCCACCTACTTTTTCTTACAGAACAGAGAACGACGGAAAAGCAATATATGGAGCAGCATTTTTTTGTTTTATTACCGCGTATCTTTTCTTTTACTTAACGGATACTTACACTACCTGCCTCTTTCTTGAATAGAGTTTCTACTAATATTAGGAGTTTAATCAGTTTTATACATGCATCGAATGAATAAAGTTAATGAGCCTCTCTGTACTTTTTATGCTCGTGAATGATACATAGATATTTGCCAAAGTTTGTCTTTTTCTCTGCTCAATAACAGTGAAATTATTGTATACGCGTGGTATCCAGTTACACTGTTCGAGATCGTATTCGATTGGGTATGAATGTAGAAACTATAAAAGATATGCTAGTGTTTTGGACAACAAGTTTTAATAAAGTAAGTTAGAGACAGAGACCGAATCAAACCGAGCTCCGTTGAGATTAGTATATAACACTAGGTTTGGTATTGATGTAAATTAATATTGCTTAATACACTTGTGAATTAAAAGAAAGTTTTAATATTAACACATAAGTATCATCAGTATGTTTTTATTGTTAATACAAGAATCATGTAGCACTGAAGTGATCCATTGTCATAAACACAACTAGTGTAACTGTTATGCAGTGAATAACAAAGACTGTTATATGGAAATTAAATTACGGTTGTCAAACGATCAATCAAAACCATCAAAAACTGGTTGGTTTCAAAACATTGATCGGATTGGACCAGTATGGTGTGGATATGGATATGGGTATCAATTTATCTTCGTTATTCTCGCATTGAAATAGAATGAGACGTCACTCTTCAAAATGATAATCTGTAACGCTTGTTATACTATTAATTTGTGAAGAAGAAATGAAAATCAGTAACCGATATTTGTTTCTTGATAATCCTTCATGCAATTCTAACGTTGTTCATGGCATAGATCGATTAAAATATATTTCCAAGATAAAAAAAACTCATAGAAATGAACGAGTTTCACGCCGGCAGCGACAGTTTTTCGAGAGACGCGTTTGAATTTGTTCAAGAATGATTGGTTCTTGTAGTTCGGAAACTGTTTCGTAAGAGTGCGTCAGAATATTAGCAGCTTCTTTCGTCTAGTACGAATGCGTTATTAATCGATAAGAATCCTTGAGAAACTTAAGTGTTCACATAAGAAAAAATATGTTTCTCGATTCTTTTCAAATAAAAACGATGGAATTTACTCATTTAAAACGAATATTTTCTAAGAAAGTTTTATCAAGCTTTTTTCCTTTT